AATAAGAAAAGGGGGAGGGCGGAGTAAGAAGGAGGGGAGATAAGAAAAAGAGGGGGTAAGAAGAAGAAGAAGGGGTGAGTAAGAAAAAGAGTGGGGAGTAAGAAGAAGAAGAGTGGGGAGTAAGAAGAAGAAGAGGGGGTAAGAAGAAGGGTGAGTATGAAGAAATGGGGGGAGTAAGAAGAAGAAGGGGGAGGAAGAGGAAGAAGAAGGGGTAAGAAGAAGAAGGGGGAGCAATAAGAAGAAGGGGGGTTAAGAAGAACAGGTGGGGGAGTAAGACGACCAAGGGGGGAAGTATGAAGAACACAGGGAGGAGGGGGGTAAGACGAACACAGGGGGTGTGAGGAGAACACATAGAGGGAGGAGTGAGAAGAGCACAGGGAGGGTGGGTGAGTGTGAGAAGAGACCGCTAGGGGAGGGTGGGGGAGAGGAGAGACCACTAAAGGTGCAGGGGAGAGCTCTACGGGACAGAAGGGGCAGCTCTATAGGACAGGGCCAAGACAGGGAGCTCTTTCACACTATGCGCGTGCACACACACACAATGCATCCCTATACATACACAGAAACACAACATGCTTCCCTTACACACAGAGAAACACACAATGCATCCATTACACACACACACACAATGCAACCCTTACACACAAAGACAATGCATCCCTTGCACACATACACAGAAACAGACAATGCAAACCCGTACACACACATGCAAACACACACACTTCTTTTCTTACATACACACAGAAACACAATGCATCTCTTACACTCAATGCACACACATACAGACACACACCTTGCATCCCTTATGCATACAAACACAGATTCACACAATGCATCCCTTACACACAACCAGAAACACATAATACATCCCTTATACACAAATACACACTGCTTCCACTACACACAAACACACTACATCACCTGCACAAACTGGTAACCCTATACACTACATACCATAAGCACACATGAGCTTAACTCATGGGTGGGTGGAACTTATGAGTGGGCCTTATGGGCATACTCACCGTCAGGCCCTGGGGCCCAGACCTTGAGCTGTGTAAGGGGCCCCAAAAAATGGAGCTGCTTCCAATTCTCCCAGAACATTGAATTTTGTGACCACAGCTGCAAACAGCCTCCAGAGATCCTGTTCTACACCAGACCAGTGGAGCCAAACTGCAGCCCATCATCATCCTCATCTGCTTGTAAGTAGGCAATCTAGTATATTATTAGTGACACTAATCTATAATGTACCTCACATTAAAGGGACACTATAGCTTAATGAAGTGGTTCTGGTGTCTATAGCTGGTCCCTGCAGGCTTTTTAATGTAAACACACACTGTGTGCAGCACTGGCGTTAGTTCATATGGGTGGGGCATTGTGATGTCACATGGGGGGGCAGCAAATTTTTATTTTGTCTAGGGCGGCAAAAATACTTGCACCTGCACTGATCCAGCCCCATCTTTACCGCAGTGCAAGTGCCCTCTGCCCCTAATTTACAGTGGCTCACACTCACAACAAGCAGTGCCTGGAGCCGTGAAGGAGCGGGTATGGCAAAGAGCTACTGATTAGCATAACATCAATATCCGTTATAAAACCAGGAAAAGGTGGGCATGGATGGTGAACTGATTTGGTGGTGCAATGGGCCACTTGACTGGTTTTGCCCCCCAGGCCTAAGGCTGCCAGCCCTCCCCTGAGTGTGGGGGCCCTAAATAACAATAAGTGGGGGGGACCTAATGTCCTCCCCCCAGCCCCCACCACTGAGCAGTGGGTGGGGGCCCTAAATTAAAATTGGGGGGGACCTAAAAAACAATAAGGGGTGGGGGCCCTAAAAAACAATAAGGGGGGGACCTAATGTCCTCCCCCCAGCCTCCACCCCTGAGCGGTGGGTGGGGGCCATAAATAAAAATTGGGGGAGGGACGACCTAATGTCCTCCCCCCAGACCCCACCACTGAGCGGTGGGTGGGGGCCCTAAATAAAAATTGAGGGGGGGGACCTAATGTCCTCCCCTGGCCCCCACCCCTGAGCCACGGGTGGGGGCCCTAAATAACAATAAGGGGGGGACCTAATGTCCTCCCCCCAGCCCCCACCCCTGAGCGGTGGGTGGGGGCCATAAATAAAAATTGGGGGAGTGACGACCTAATGTCCTCCTCCCCTTACCCCCGCCCCTGAGCGTTGGGGGCCATAAATAAAAATTGGGGGGGGGGATCTAATGTTGTGTAAAATGACAGACTGTGGCTGGATTTCAAGCTAACCAATCAGAGTGCTTGTGTCATTTTACACAGCATGGGAAAATTACAAAGAACTTTCCCACGCTGTGTAAAAAAAGGACATTAGTTCCCCCCTAATTTTTATTTATGGCCCCCACCCACCGCTCAGGGGTGGGGGCCGGGGGAGAGGACAGTAGGTCCCCCCCCCAAATTCTTATTTATGGCCCCCAACCAACGCGCAGGGGTGGGGGCTGGGGGGAGGACAGTAGGTTCCCCCCTCCACATTCTTATTTAGGGCCCCCACCCGTCGCACAGGGGTGGGGGAAATAGGGGGGGGTTTACAGTGAGCAGCCACTTTACTAGACATGCCCCTACTCGCGGTATGGCGAATAGGGGCTGAATTTACTAATACTTAGTAATCTTTACTTAGTATTAGTAAATGTGGCTGAAAGACCAATTTAGGTCTTTCAGCCTTTTGGTAGATAGCTCCCTAATACCGTGTGAATTAGGGAGTTATCTACTAAGCGGCTGCTTATTTTATGTTATTTTGTAAGTGATTTCCCTATCCACATTTGTTTACAGTGCACTTGTCCTACTCTTACCCCCATTTTACTTCCTTTTGCAGCCCTCTAGCCCTTTCCAGGAGGTTTTTAGAGCCATTTTTGTGGCCAAATGTTTGGGTCCCCATTGACTTCAATGGGGTTCGGGGTCAAGTTCGGGGTCAAGTTCGAGCCCGGACACTGACTTTTTTTCAAAGGACCCGAACATCCAGGTGTCCGCTCAACTCTAGATTCCACTATTAGGCAGTAAAGTCAGATATCTTGTAGCAGTCATTACCACTACCACAGCCCGGATCCATGACAAGAATACATGTACCAGTGCAGTTTAGAATCCGTGCAAAAATACAAAAAATAGAGAATTATTATTATACTTTTTTTTTTCATAAAGTGCCGTCACAACATGCAGCACTGTCGATGGTACAATTGGTATAAGTAATAAGACAAAGGTACAATACATACAAGAGATACACTACAGAAAATATCCTTATGCACTCTGATAGAACAGGCCTCATCACTATTGTCTATAGAGTAATCTAGGCGCACGCATGAAATGCAGGTGCCAGCAAGTAGACAAACATCAGTCACATAGAAATTCTGAACTGTCTATCACAACAAAGGATAAAATAGCTATACATTATGCTTACTGTTGAAAAGAAAACAGCTCAGCACTGATATCAATGTATGTAAGCATCAGCAAGAGACATGGTATATAAAGACCTCTCGTCCTGTGTAACAGCAGACAATTGTTTGAGACAATCAACTCAGCGCTGAAAATGGGAAAGGTAAGATGACCTGAAAATATTAACCTGTTACAGCAGTAGACATGCTTGATACCACAGCCAGATTATTTATTTTTTCAAAGTATATATTTTTAATAATGTTTCTAAACATGTCTACAATCAAACACTTGGAGGGTTTATAAAATACCAAACTTATTTTTGTGTAGTTTGGACAAAGTGAGTCTGTCGTTCACACATAACAGTTTAAGTTCAGGTAGTCTTCATGATATTCTTTAAAATGTATTCACTTCAACAACTTTTTTAATATATTTTGAAAAGTACACAGATGCTAAATGAATTACTGAGCTTGATATATAGTTTCTCTGTTTCCATTTGTGAAAACTATGAAATGGCTGAGAAATGGCTTGCAGCCAATCATGGTTACTGTTTGTTCCTTTGGTCCTTTCTCTGTTCAGTTGTATTTTAAAAAGTTCTACTGGGAACCAGTTACAATTTGTATATTGTGTTATATTTATAGGTTTAGGGTACTCTACAGATTTATATAGGTTACATTTTCTAGCAGTGAATTCAAAGTGAATTTCAATTTAAAGGCCAAAATATCCACCCTGACAACAGAAATTATTTGGGTATTGTTTTTAATTCAGCTATTTTTGTTAATGTCTGAAAGTCTTTGTTACAAAATATGAAGACTTAGATGGTGTGGCAATTTCATTCTAATTCATTATTTTATGTAATAAATGTTAGGGTGAAAGGGGGTGGCTAGGGGCTTCGGGAAGCCTAGTCACTTGGAAGAAACTTAATGACAATTTTGGGGCATGGACAATGGCATCACTATCACCCCTTGTATTTCTAATTACATCCCTCACTAGTCACACATGGATAGGGGTTTGGGGGACATTAGGTTTCCCCTTGTTTTATAATAGGATCCTACTTGCCACCTTTGTGTGGGTGCTGGAGGGGATAATATGTCCCCCAAGTTTGATAAGTAGCCCACAGAGGACTGTGCAGTGGGTACCTTAGGTTGTCCCTCCATTTTTATTAGATAATAGTCCCCACCTACCTGTCACAAGTGTGGCTGGGGGTAGACAGTGATCTGTCCCCCCCCCCCCCATCATTTAATTTAAAATCCCTACCCATTACTTCTGGTGAGGGCATGGGGGGAACCAAGTCCCCTTGTTATCCTTGTTATTTCACTGTTCCCATATCTATGGAATGGCCCTTTTAAGCAACTGGACAGCAATGGTTACCTAATTGCAAGTTTTGTTTTTTTTATATAAAAGTTTGCTCACTGTTCAGTATGTATGCCCCATCCATGGCAAGGCAGTTGGGGCATAAGGCAGAGTTATTGCATCACTTTTAGCAATATGGTGGTCATTTTGACACCTATATGCTTTTAAAATGAACTTATTATACTTTAATGTGGGGGCTGGCTTGCAAGCACACACCAGCCATCATATAGTAAACCCTCATATCACCAAGTTTGTTTAATTATTTGCCTGCTGGATGCCAGCACTGCCTGCAGGCAAATAGGATTTTTCAAACCATCCTAACACTGATTTATAGCATTCAGGTCCAACTTTCAGACATCCAACGGCATTCTGTCCAGTTGAAATCTGGACCTAATTCAGGCTCGTTCAAAGCCTGGTTAGCAAATCTGTACATTGTTAATTAGTATGAACAATGTATGGATTTTGCAGTCTGAATGATGGTTCACCCCATTTGGTATTGTTCCTTTCAATATTTACTAAATAACCCTGTTTGCTTCACAAATCTGTCTGTATTCTCTAAAGGTTACCCTGGGCATTAGACACTTGGAAATCTATCAAATAAACATTTATCTGAAAAGTGTCTTTTAAAGTGTCAGAATATAGACTAAAGTAGACTAGTTGGAGGAAGAAACTTGTTCAGCCATTCTGAATAGAAGGTATATTGTTATCTGCTAACCCATGAATTGTCATTATTTGAATAACTGGGGATTTAAATTTTAGGCTACAATAGCTGTGCTGAAAAAAAGAGCTGAGTTGGAGAATGCAGTTTGGCCTCTTTGGCGTAAATTTACAATTCTCTGGTTGATTCCAGACAAGTCTTGGTTTAGGGAGAAAGAGATCAGAGAAAATTAAAAGAGAATTGTGAGCAGAGAGACTATCACTGGAGGGGGTAAAAGTGAATGAAGGTCACTGTCAGATATGAAAAATTAGTGAAATTATATTCATGTAGAAGTCGTAAAATCAGATTTTGTCTTACAAACAAAAAGTAATTAAAAAAGTAATACTTCAGTATAAGTCTTACCTTTAGATTAGCAGTGCATGGTAATGCAATGAAAAAACAAAATGTGCTAAGATTAATATGACTTTTTTTTCTAAATGCTGTACTTTTGAAAGATTCTCTCACTTAGCTATTGTTAGATTTAAATGGACACTGTTGCCACCAAAACAATTTTAGATTATTTAAGCAGTTATGTTGTATAGATCATGCCCCTGCAGTCTCACTGCTCAATTCTCTGCCATTTAGGAATCAAATCACTTTGTTTATGCAGCCCTAGACACACCTCCCTGCATATGACTTGCACAGTCATCTTAAACACTTCCTGCAAAGAGTCATATAATGTTTACACTTCCTTTTTGTAAATTATGTTTAATTTAAAATGTCTTATATCCTGCACTGTCAATAGCTTGGTAGATCCTGCAGGTGCCTCTTGTAATTAATTAAAGTCCAATTTACTAATCAAGAGATTAAAACTTTTAAATTAAGTTACAGCTGATTGAAAATAAAAACAATTTGGTTTTCGTGCAGGCTGTTTCACTTACTGTCATGGGAAGTGTAGCTAGGGCTGCATAAACAGAAACAAAAAGGATTTAACACCTAAATTGCAGTGAGACCTTAGAGGCATGATCTATACACTAAAACTACTTCATTAAGCTAAAGTTGTTTTGGTGACTATAGTGTCCCTTTAAATTTTACATTTGGGTTTCAATTCATCACAATTCAGTATCAAATTAAAAAACTCCATAGGTGTTAATTTTAATTTATTGATGTATTGACTAATTATTTTTAGATGACTGTTGCAAAGGTTGCAAAATATGTCCAACTTCAGCCGAAATTGAATTTTCTTTCAGTTCTGCAATTCTGGAAAACATTTTCTGTGACTGTTTGAAAGTAAATAAGAGCTTCCAGTGAACAGTCACATCTGCATCACATAGGAATTGATATCACTAATCACCATATTGTAAACTGATTTGAAAACTACTGGCAACATTTACTTCGAAAAAAATCTCCAACTCAGCTTAACTATTTTATCCTAAAATTTTCCAACTTGGTTTTCTTTCCACTGCACTTTTTTGTTAGACAATTTCCTTTGTATTTAGTTGCTTTGAAATGGGGGACACCTCTTTTATTTATGTTTTTGTAATTCTTTATTTTATTTTTGCATAGTTTAAACAAGCGGGTTTGCACTGTACAACAGCTGGTACAAACTGAACATCAGGCACAGTATAACATTTGTGTTGCCACGAAATACATTACACATTTTGTTAATAAGAATCAGGGCCGTCTTTAATTTTGATTGGACCCTGGGCAAGCATTTACTTGGGCCCCCTGACTATATATAGATATACACAAATACACTACCTGACACACATGAAGATACACACTGACCGCATGTAGATACACACAAGAACATACAGATACACACAGACTACATATAGATACACTGACACACACATAGACATACACACAGATATAAACACTGACATACATGTAGATACAAAGGTACACCCATTGACTACATATAGATACACACACACACTGACACAAATCCAGACACACAGATACACAACCTAAAACACATGCAGATATACAGATACAAACACTGACACATACAGATACACACACAAACGGAAAACATACAGATACAGAGACACATTCTGACAGACGTACTGACACAGACAGTCATACTGAACCACACATACACAAAGACATACTGAACCACACAGACATTGACATACAGATACACTGACAGACATACTGGCACATATACACACAGACAGACAGACATACTGAAACACACATACACACAGACATTGACAGACATATTAAAAAACACAGACATACAGAACCACATGGACACTGACAGACTCACACAGACATACTGACAGACATACATACATTCTGACACACATACACACATACATACATACTGAACCACACAGACATTGACAGACTCACACACACACACAGACATACTGACACACTGACAGACATACACACATACACTGACAGACATACACACACAAAGACATACTGACACACTGACAGACATACACACATATACAGACAGACACACACACACTGACAGACATACACACATATACAGACATACTGAAACACACATACAGACATACTGAACCACACAGACACTGACAGACTCTCACACACACAGACATACAGATACACAATGACAGACATACTGGCACACTAACAGACATACACACATACTGACACACTCATGCAAAATTTGATAACCACCCTCCAGTTTCTTACCTTTTCCTGGAGGGTGGCTTCACTGGGGTCCAGTGGGCTGGCTGGGGTGGCTGGGAGTTAAGCTCTCCCGGCCTGGCCCCCTCCGGAACAGCTCCTTCCTCCCTGCGCGGCTCCTGTTTCTGTGGGAGGAAGTGACACGCGGCTGTCACTTCCTCCCAGTGCTCCCGAAATGCAAGGGCCCGGTCGCGCTGTTAAAGCGCCACAGCGCCCGACCGGGCCCCTGCTGACACAGGCCCACCGGGTGGCCCTAAGTGCATGGGCCACCCGATGGGCCCCCATAGTCTGCAGGTAGAGGGCAAACAGGGCAGTTACCTCGGGCCCCCCAGCAGGGACAGGGCCCGGGGCAGCTTCCCTGTTTGCCCCGCGTTAAAGACGGCCCTGATAAGAATAAACAAGATTAAACTAAAATCCTTAATCTAAAGGGGAAAATTTCTCTCCCTAAGTACATATAAAAACAATGCATAAAACCAAGCAGTATAAGTGTAAGAGACAGCATGTTCTAAGCAAAGTGATATAGGCTAGACCGAGTGAGTAGTAGACCATTACCCGCCCACGTATATGCTTGATAGACATGTCTTTATGGTAAAGTGGTTTCGGCATTTACAGGTAGTTTGAGATTATTGGGTAGACATGTCAAACAGCGTGAAATCAATACTACAATGTCTGTTAGTGTGGGATGTAGAGTACAGGGTGCATGTACATTGTATATCATGAATTAGGTGCATGATTTTTATGTTGGTGCGGCAGGTTTGGTCATCCGCTAGGTCTAGACATGTCACCAGATATCTGTGAGAGGCCTGTAGATTCTCCACAGCATCCCGAAGTCCTTATACCTCCCCTTGGGCCTGTACTCAAGCGGTCACCACTTGGACTTCAGTTCTCATTAAGTCCATATCAACCGCTTATATCTGCTTTAGTTCCAGCAGCAGGTTTTTGATGTCCAGCTTAGTGGCTGGAGTCAGACTGTCCGGATCAGCCGGTTCCGGACAGTGTGGTTTGCAGGTTCCATATGATCTCTGGAGGCAGAGTCCGAGCTGCAGGAGCTAGCATCATGTTCTGGTGGGGCTGCCATTTTGTGGGCCACAGGTCGCTGTAGCAGAACTCCTATATCTTGGGAGTCTTTGGACATAGTGGCCTGGGCTTTCTGGGATTTTCTGCCCATTGTATTACCACAGGGCTCTCTGGTGATGTAAGGCTAGAGGTAGGATGCGGCTTGTGGAGCAGATAGGTCGCGGTAGGCCCCAACTGTGCCTGTTTGCGGGAACAAGAAGGGCATTTGGACACCGCCTGTACTGCTGTGTTGGAGTGGTGAGTAATCTGGCATAAATGCAGGGCTCTGCTTGTAGTGATTACAGGGGAAATAGAGCAGATTTATTATGATTTGGCAGGAGCTTGGGAGAGTAGCATCCGTTCAGTTCAAGCGTTAGGCTCCGCCTCCCAACACCTCTTTTATTGTGACTATTAAATGTATTATGTAATTCTTCTGTTGTAAAATATTTTATATATGTGAGCATATAATGCATTTGCTGTTTTTGAATAAAAATAAAATATATATTGTAATAAAAATGTGTTTTGTACATTAGCTACATATGACATTAATAGCGACTTACATTTCCACAGATCATCTTCTATGAAGATCGTAACTTTCAGGGACGCTCTTATGAGTGCAGCTCTGAGTGTTCCGATTTGACCTCATTCTTTCACCGCTGCAATTCCATCCGAGTAGAAAGTGGAAACTGGATCCTGTATGAGAACCCCAACTATAGAGGACACCAGTATTACCTTAGCAAAGGAGAATATCCTGATTTTCAACAATGGATGGGTTTCAACGACTCCATCAGATCTTGTCGTATTAGCCCACAGGTAAAGTACTTCCTTAGAAAATTGCCTTAAATCTAAAACCATTACAGAATAATAAATGTGTATTTAAACTAACAATAAAAGATGCACTTCAAAAATATTTCTCAGTTCAATCTATTTAGGCTTGACATTTGGCAATACAATGTCTCTTCCATTTTTGGGAAATATTTCCTGCTCAGTGTTTTTCAAATTAATTGAAATTAAACAAATTGTTATACATTTTAAAATGACAACTTAATTTTGTTTCCTAAAAGCACCAAGGCTCATTCAGAATAAAGGTCTACGAGAGGGAGGATTTCCGAGGCCAGATGATGGAGTTCACTGAAGATTGTCCCAATGTCTATGAAAGATTCCGTTATCATGACATTCACTCCTGCCATGTTCTTGATGGTTATTGGATGTTCTATGAGGAACCAAATTATAGAGGCCACCAGTATTACCTGAGACCTGAAGAATATAAAAGATATACTGACTGGGGTGCCATGAACCCAAAAATTGGCTCATTCAGAAGACTCCATTATTTTCAATAAATAGTAGTATTGAGTGAGTCGGGATGTAATTCAAAATTAATTAAAAAAGATAAGAATGGTAACATTGTCACTATTTAATTTGCTCATAAACAATTGTATTGTATTGGTACATTAAAGGCACATATTACAGGTTTTGAAATAAATTATTTCTAAGTGGATTCCTTAACTATATTGATAAAATATTGTAATATTATGATTTAAAGTGAAGATGTTACCTTGGAGGGAGTCTGGAAAGCTCTTCTAAGGTGACATGCTTGCTTCATCGACCTCCTAAAAGGACAGAATGTTGATGAAATGCCTATCCACGGTTTATATATTAAGTTTTCCATCTTTGTTTTTGAACTACTTGAAAAGACTTTGTATACATAAAAATATATGAAAAATACTAAATGTGGACATAGAAATTCACAGCACATGACATTATTGTTTGCATCTAGAGACAATACTGTCTAAACTTTACTAAAAATTGGTAATAAAATAAAAAATATTTTTTTACATTATTGACCAGATGCATAGAGAGCTCATTGTGAATTCTTTAAAAAAATTATAATGCTATAATAAAACACATAAATCTCTCCTCTAACAGGCAGGTAAAAGGTAATTAAAGTGAAGGTAATTATAGTGTGTCTATGTACAGTGCCCTCCACTAATATTGGCACCCTAGGTAAATATGAGCAATGAAAGTTGTGAAAAATTGTCTATATTGGCAAACCTTTTGATCTTTTGATCAAAAAACACAAAAATACTCTGCTCTCATGGAAATATAATAATTGCAAACACAACAAAGGTTTATGCCCCCCTCCCTCAAATGTTAAGTATATGTGTGGAAAAAAACAAGGAATTGTGCGCAAAAATTAGCAGCATTTAAAATATATAAACCTTTAATAATCAATAGGAGGGTTCTGTTATTGAATCCTCCTATTATCTTCCAAAATTAACATTTAGTATGAGAAGAAAAAGAAAAACTATTCACTAGAGTGCTACTATGAATTGAAAGTGCTTCAAATTGTGGTATGGTAATCACAGCAATCTATCATAGAAAAACACCCCAAATACAATTTTTCCATTTGTAGATCTAACAAATGTAGGGAAAGAGTAAATGAAGACATCCTAATGCAACACTGTATAAAAAATGAACAATTAAGCTATTGTAATGATATTGATGTTACAAAGGTTTGGAGTCCAGCAGCCAGATCAGCAATGTTTTCTGCCAGAAGTAGCCACTCGTTACCAAGGTGGTTGAGTCCCTGAGCCTTCAGTGGCCGTCTGGTCTTAAGCAGTGTTGACAAACTGGAACAGAAAGATGGTAATCGTAGTGAGGCAAGCCGAGGTCAGTGGGAAGGAGAAGCAGCAAAGTCAAAACGATCCAAATTCAGCAACAGGTAGGAGAAACAGGAAGAAGCTTGATTATAGACTACAGGAACCACAACAATCTGACAAAGGTACAGAGACAGGAAGTGGCTTATATAGGCCAAGAACCAGACACCTGACCAGACACAGTTGAAGAGTTGTCACTGATATCATTGCTTGTAGAGTCAAGGTTATCAGATCTCAGGTAAATTTGCAAAAGGCACGCTGGTGAACTGGTAAGGAAGAGGTTTAGCAGCATGTAAACCAGGATTCGAAACCCAGCAGAGTCAGTTCCTCACATCTATGCACCTAATGAATTCACACACACAAGAGTGGAGTGGATATAACACCACTCTTATCTATGGAGCTTAGGGAGGATCAGTCCCTAGTGGGATCCATTACTCCTATATGTAGGTGTGACGTAGTGACCTTTGCCACTTGTGCCTGGAGAGGACTAATTGCCAGCCTCCTGCCTTGTGACTATGGCCCCTGGAAGATTTGGCCCTTTAAAAACGTTGTTTGGGCATATTGGATTTTATTGTACTTTTACTGCCCCTTTAAATTGTGTTGGAGCAGTGACCGCCATTCGAAAAAACGAACACGTGGCGGCGGGCATTTTAATTGAAGATATAGGAAGATGAATTAATTCAGCTGAAGTTTTTACTGAAGTTTTTACCTTCTCCAGACTTCAACTCATTCGACAATTCGAACGCCTTTCGACAATTCGAACGAATATGACTTCCAGGGGGCGTGGCCTGGCAGCTCATGGACACGGACATGTGAGCCGTCAGCTCCGATGAGGGTAGCTAGAAAAGCAGCGACTACAACCACAATACTTACCCGATTAGAGATATTCTATTACCCCTGGGAAGCCGAACACCATCATGTCCCAGAGGGCACCTAAAAAAGCGAAAATGTGACCAGCAGCACTCCAAATCTCTTCACTAACACCTCCGCGCAAATGCTGCCAAGATGGCGCCGGAGGCCCAGACTCACCTGCAGCTCGCTCAGATAGAAGCGACAACACGTCCATATCAGCAAGAAATGATGCTCCAGCCTCAGCGATAGCTCTCCAAAAGATGCTCCAAGAACTGCAACAGACTCTGCAAACAGAGTTCGCTAAATTATCCAGAGACGTGCATGCTCACATTAAAGCAATCGGTGAATGCACGACAGCACTAGAAGACAAGACAGAGGCTCACAACAACCTAGCAATGAACTACGGGACGATAGAAACGCGCCTGTCTCACTTAGAAGATAAAGTAACTGATCATGAAGATCGGGATAGGCGAAATAATATACGCCTCCGAGGCATATCAGAAGAGATGAAGCCCTCAGAACTGGGGGAATATGCTGTCAGCCTATTTAAGGCGCTGTGCCCAGACCTACGCCTAGATCGAATTCACTGTCTACCGAGGCCTAAATTCTTGGCTAACACTGTTCCTAGAGACGTCATATTCACGCGTATTCACTACTTTACTTCTAAAGAAGCGGTGATGAGAGCAGCAAGAAACCTTGATGCCATACCGTCGAAATTTGCAGGAGTATAACTATTCATAGACCTGTCGGCAGTGACCCTGATAAAGCACAAGGAGCTGGCACCTGTGACAAGAGTGCTCCGCGAAGCAGACATTCTCTACAAGTGGGGATACCCCACACGCCTAATAATCAAGAAAAATGGCGCTAGGGGTTATGTATAATGCTACTTGAAGGTTTAAACGGAAAGACACAAGAAACACTGACATGCAGTAGGAATATAAAGAGCTTAAATTTATGTTGACAAATTGAAGGGCAAGTAAATCTACCCACTCAACTCACCCTCCCCCATATAGGCTTTATAGAGCCACTAACTCTTGCATTAATGTCAGATACTGTTTTTCTGACAACTACTGTATCTTGTACATAGTTTTTCCCTTGTTACCTGACCCCCCCAAACCCAACCCCCACAAAAACCATACGCGCTCACAATCGGTGAAGTAAACGGAGGCACAATGCCCACCAACCAAGCAAAATAACCCAGAGACCAGAGGCACACATTATCATGAGTCACATTAAATCACAAATGTCAACCAATTACCAATATACCCGAATACCCAAACTCAAAAAAATATATACTAAATTTCTCACACATACCCGGGAACACAAAACAAAGAAAAAAAAGGCAAACTACCATGAGTAAATGCTTACTGTTCATGCAGCACAGAAATAAATCGTATTTATGGCTTTAACGGTTATGTCCTTAAATGTTAAGGGGCTAAATTCACCACACAAATGGAGACTAGCTCTGGCAGAGGCTAAAAAAGCGAAAGCCACAGTCGCTTTTTTCCAAGAGACCCATTTCTTAAAATCCAACATGCCCAAATTCTCCTCCAAACAATATCCTATTGGATACCACACCGGTTACTCAAATAAAAGAGGGGAGTCTCGATACTATTTAACAAAGATATCGCCTTCCCACTCCACAAAAAAATTGGAGACAAAGAGGTCCAGTGCCTTATCAATAATGAACCCTACACATTCATGAATATCTATGGCCCGCATGAGAACCAAACAGCATACCTGAATAAGATTCTGATTCTGGCAAACACACACAAATTTGGAACTTTGATTATAGGAGGAGACACAAACGTTATCTTAGACAGCAACATGGACTCATCATCTAGCTTACATGTCTCCCAGAAAACAGCTAACAGAGGCACCTCCACCTCAAACACTATTCGCAAACAACTACATGACTCAGGATACATAGAAATATGGAGGATAACACATCCATCCGAAAAGGATTTTTCATTCCATTCACAGACACATATTTTCATATCAACTCCACGGACGACATCCTCATAGCAACATTATGGCAAGCACACAAAGCAGTGATTAGGGGCTCACTTATTAAACACGCCAAAAAACAGAGGCTACAACTATACAATACCCTAATTCAACAAATCACAACTCTCACGCATGATAATAAATCAAATCCGTCACAAGCCACCTACTACACCTTACGATCTCTCCAGCTCAAATTGTCGGAGATATCCTACAACGCTATAAACACAAATTTTTCACCCAAGGGAACAGATTGGGAGCGACCTTATCCTCATAACTAAAAACACGACTGACCAACTCGCGAGTCGCATACATCACGACCCCTGATAAGAAAAAACTCTTGAATCCACAAGATATGGTGGACGAATTTGCACACTACTACAGCACTTTATATAATCTTAAAGATAATACCGACATACACACACCGACCAAAACACAAGTGAAGGAATATCTAGACACAGTAACTTTGCCCACACTAACAGAAGACGAAATAGGCTACATCACACAACCGATCACGACAGAAGAACTGAGAATAATGATTACACAACTACCTCAGCACAAATTGCCAGGGCCGCATGGCTTTACGAATATATACTACCAAACTTTCTCCGATATTTTAATACCACACCTCACTAAACTTTTTAAACACAGCTTCACTACAGGCGACATGTCATCTGACATGCTGCAAGCCCATATCTCCAGCCTACCCAAATCAGGCAAACCAGCTACAACATGCCAAAACTTCAGACCCATCTCCCTTTATACTGTGATACTAAACTATATGCAAAAATATTAGCGAATCGTCTGAACACAATACTAACACGTATTGTTCATAATGACCAATCCGGTTTTGTTAAACGAAGACAAGGATCTGATAATACTAGAAAAGTCCTGAATATTCTAGCGCACATGGAAGCGAACAAAACGGAGGGCCTTCTTCTAGGATTAGATGCAGAGAAGACCTTCGATAGGCTAAATTGGGAATATATGACACAGGTCCTCTCCAAATTTGGCTTTACCATGGAATTCATAACCGGCATAAAGGCACTATACACGGGACCATCAGCAAAAGTCACCAATGCAGGGTTCTTATCAAAACCCTTCCAAATCACAAATGGCACCCGACAAGGATGCCCACTCTCACCTCTATTATTTGTGTTATCCCTAGAGCCATTGGCATACAAAATTAGAAACAATCGCCAAATAAAAGGAATTAAACACAGATTACAAACTATCAATGTTCGCGGATGATGTCCTTGTTTCCATGACACGTCCAGACGTCCATACCTAATCAGCACACTAGAAGAATACAGCAAAGTCTCCTACTACAAACTAAACCAGACAAAAACTCAGGCACTTCCAATCTGACTCCCAGCACCCCTAGTGCAAAAGCTGAAACAGGCATACACGTTCGACTGGAGACGGATGCACCTCACTAGTGATGTACCGAACGGTTCGCCGGCGAACGGTTCCTGGCGAACATAGCATGTTCGCGTTCGCCACGGCGGGCGAACATATGCGCGGTTCGACCCGCCCCCTATTCGTCATCATTGAGTAAACTTTGACCCTGTACCTCACAGTCAGCAGACACATTCCAGCCAATTAGCAGCACAGCCTCCCTAGCAGACCCTCCCACCTACTGGACAGCATCCATTTTAGATTCATTCTCAAGCTGCATAGTAAGAGGAGGAGAAAAGTGTAGCTGCTGTTCATAAAGATAGGGAAAAGCTATAGCTGGTTCAGGGATAAGGGTATGCTTTTTTGGATTTTTCTATCTAATGTAATGCACTTAGTTGTCTAGTTGTCTGCCACTGCTGCCAGCTTCTGTGTCAGGCTCACAGTGCATACTGTTCCCATTTCCCCAGTCAGTGCCACCAACTACATCTGGTGTCACAATAGCTTGGATTTAAAAACAAAAAACTTTTTTCACTGTTATAGATTGAATAGCAGTCAGTTGTCTGCCACTGCTGCCAGTTTCTGTGTCAGGCTTACAGTGCATACTGTGCCCATTTCCCCAGTCAGTGCCACCAATTACATCTGGTGTCACAATAGCTTGGATTTAAAAACAAAAA